CTATTTGCTCTCGAGGGCGCTATCACCTCAGAGGAAGCAGGAGTACCACATATGTATTAAAACTGAACCTGAATGCTTTTTACACATTTCATTTCACTCTCAGGATGTTAACTCACATTAACTCTGCATGTGCCAGAGCCAAACACAAACTTTTCTCAAATCTGTGAAAGCTTTTAAATAAAATTGTCCATTTCAACCACAAACGAACCTGGTCATTCTCAGACCATTTTACTAACAAGCCTAACTCCAGTCTTTTCAGGCAGAAAAAGTTAAGTTGTAAAAAGCATGAGAAAACAAATATCTATGGCAATTTTTTGGAGTAAAACATGATGGAAAAAGGACAAAAGTTTATGGATTAAAGCAACTGCTTGGTCAGTCTCTTGAACTTCCCAATTCCAAGCAGTCAAACCCCAGATACCAGTAAGTCTCCCTGAATTCAAGACGGCCCATCAGAGCTTATTTTAGAATTGGGCTTCTGATCATTAGGGCCATAAACACAACTCACAGGAAACAAGCAGAGAAGCTATAAAACCTGGAGACCAGCCAGCGAGCAAGGGACCCTCTGCTCAGCGTAGAAGGCAGCCCTGCTTCCAGCCAAGCCTATCCAGGACTCTCTGTTGAAACAACTCAGCTTTTTGGTAGCACAAGGGAATTTAGTACCCACAAACCAAACCAGAGGACTGAGATCTAACGCTGTCATGCTTTCCCCCATCGACCACACAACGCTGGTCCTCCAAGATGCGCATCGCTTGTGAACAGCCAAGTGCTGCTGAGATGGCAGAGGAGAGAAGGAAGGTTAGGCACCTCGCATCCAGGCCTATGCACAAGAATAGAGCAGCACAGGAAACACTTGGGCAGAGAAGTAGCCAAGAAGCTTTGCTTTCCATTTCAGTTGCTTCTTGCCGCATCAGCAGCTGTATCTGCAGACCAACTTATTTTGTTGGAATAGACCTATTTCAAATACAGGATATTTATCCAGACATCTTCTGAAATTGGGGGGAGGAAGTCTTCAAGTCCTGCCTGCTCCTGCCAGCAGCCCTGTCGGAAATCGGCCGGGCTGGATACCATCAAGCTGAGCACACAGATGGGACTTACAGGCTGCTGAATTAGCAAGAGGGATGAAACCAGGTGCAGGAGGGGGGTAATCAGGGCAGGTATCTCACAGCTCATAGCGGCAGACTACAGAAATAGTAAAAAAACCCCTCAAACATGCAAAGGGTTTTGCTTGTTTTTAACTGCCATCAGAAAGGCCCCCCCCAGCCCAGTACCTGCTCCATGTCAAGTCGCTGGAACAGCTTTAAAAAAGAAAAAAAAAACCAACAAAAAACTAAAAACTAAAACATCAGTGCCTTGAAGAACCGAGCCACGTCCACCGGCGTCGCTGCCCTGCCCG